GCAGGAAAGGAACTGAGAGTTCCCTCGCGTTGTGTGTCACACTATCTTTCTTTCTTTTTCTCTCTCTCTCTCTCTCTCTCTCTCTTTCTCACTTACTCTCTTGCTCTCTCGCTTTCTCTTTTGACGAACGTAGAAACGAACGAACGAACGAACGAACGAACGAACGAACGAACGAACGAACGAACGAACGAACGAACGAACGAATGAACGAACGAATGAACGATGAACGAACGAAGGGAAACTCGTGCGGGTGGAGCAGCTTCGAACTTTCCTCCCCGCCTCTCGCCACGATTGCTTTCTACTACACTACTACTACTACTATTACTACTATTTCTACTACGACGGACGATGAGAACGACGACGACGACGACGACGACGACGACGACGACGACGACGACGACGATGACGACGACGACGACGACGACGCCGGCAACGACGACGACGACGACTCTAATGCCTAGTAGAATAGTCAGAGAGAGAGAGAGAGAGAAAGAGAGAGAGAGAAAGTAGGAGAGGTAGCAACCTCCTTCTCCTCCTCCTCCTCCTCCTCCTTCTTTACAAACTCCTCTTCTTCCTTCACCACCACCACCTCCTCCTCCTCCACCACCCCCCTTTACCATTCGCCGCGGCGCCACTGCCGCCTTTGCTCTGCCTTTTCCACCACCTTCTCTCTCTCTCTCTCTCTCTCTTTCTCTCTTTCTCTCTCTCTATCCATCTTTCTCTCTATCTATATCTATCCATCTATCTATCTATCTATCTCTATATATCTATCTCTATCTTTCTCTTGAACGGTGTCTTTCCCTGCGCGTGCGAGTCGAACAAGCGGCTTTACCAACCGAGCGCGCTCCTAGAACACTCGAACGTGATTGGCCGAGAACGATATAGGCGCGATCTCCGACCATAGATATTCTCTATCTTTTTTTCTTTATCTCTAACTCTGTCTCTCTCTTTCTCTCTATCTCTCTCTCTCTCTCTTTCTCTTTATCTGGTTGTGGAGTACCAAACCGCGTTCGCCGGGTTGCACGCGCTATTACTTTAGAGCTTTCTACGACTATCCTTCTTTTTCTACGTATTACTCCCACGTACGTATGATCCTTTCTTTTTTCTTTCTTTCTTTCCATCTCTCTCTCTTTCTCTCTGTACCGCGAAGAAGAGTAGTAGAAAGAGAGAGAGAGAGAGAGTGAGAACGCGCGCGCGCGCGCGTTTAACCACGCACGTGGATCAATCGGTCGCGTGCCAGGCGCTCGCCGCGCGGCTTTTGAGCCCTTCGATTTAAATTTTTTTATAAGCGGTACTATTATTATTATTATTATCATCATTATTATTATTATTATTATTATTATTATTATTATTATTTTGTTATAGTTGTTGTTGCTATTGTTGTTGTTATTGTTATTAATGTTATTATTATAAGGAATAATAATCCACGGTATATCACGCTTAAATATCACAAATGAAAAATCCTCTTTTTACTCTTATCAATGTCCCTTACCTGTTCTTTTTTTCCCCCCTCGATCTATCTATCTATATATCTATCTATCCTTATCTTTATATTTGCCTCTATCTCTATCTCTATCAATATCTGTATATATACATATATATGTATATAATATGTGTATATATATATATATATATATTTCTTCTGTCTTTTACTCGAAGAACTTGAACGCGTCTCGAGGAGCGCGATCGCGACGACTGCACGACGATCAATGGCCCATGTAGGGGCTCTCTTAGGAAAAAGAGAGAGAGAAAGATGGAGAGAAAGAGAGAGAGAGAGAGAGAAAGAGAAAGAGAGATCCTCCGGGATATCGAGCTCACCTATCCGGAAGCACGGACCCACACGCATATACACTACTACCACCACAACACTACCACTGCCACCACCACCTCTAAGAGATCACCACCACCACTACCACCACCACCACCACCACTACTACCACCAGTACCACCAGTACCACCTCTATCAGCAAATAATACTTTATACCACCCCAGAACCACCACTACCCGCTACCAATACTATACTATTTCACGGGGGCACCGGCACCACGAATTTTCTCAACGGCAAAAGAGAAATAGAAGAAAAAATGAAGATGATGAAGAAGAGTAAAAGAAGAAGAAGAAGAAGAAGAAGAAGAGGAATAAACGAGAGAAGAAAAAGGAAAAGAAAAAATAGAAAAATGATAGAACAACAATAAGAAGTAGAGGAAGTGAATGGAGGAAAATGAAAGGATATGGAGAAACGAAAAAAATCATAAAACAATAAGAAGGAGTAGAAGAGAAGGAGAAGATGGAGGAGAAGGAGTAGGAGTAGTAGTAGTAGGAGGAGGAGGAGGAGGAGGAGAAGGAAGTGGTGGAAGTAGAACAATAAGAAAAATGGAAACGCAATAGTGAGCGTGTGCCTACGTTAAGAGCGCCGTTTTCTGTAGTTTTAAGTCTTAAGCTTTGGGCTTATATTGGCCCGGGGTATGATATCTCGCGAGAAAGCGCGCTTCCAGAGACA